GGGCGTTGGTGGCGCATGCCTTTAATCCCAGCACTCGGGAGGCAGAGGCAGGCGGATCTCTGTGAGTTCGAGACCAGCCTGGTCTACAAGAGCTAGTTCCAGGACAGGCTCCAAAACCATAGAGAAAACCAAAATCTCATTTAATAGCCAGCATTTAAAAATATTTCAGCCAGGCAGTGATGTACTCAGCACTCAGGAGGCAGAGACAGGAAGATTCTCTGAGTTCAAAGATAGCCTGATCTACAGAGTAAATTCCAGGACAGGCTACAGAAGAAACCACCCTGTCTCTCTCTCTCAAAAAAAAAAAAAAAAAAAAAAATTCAGTCAGTCAGGTAAATTTGTGGTATATTTTCTGTACATACACACAGACCATTATTGGTTGGATTGTATTTAGGCTAATGTGCTTTTCCTAAGCCTCCTGTTGTTTACTGCTCTGCTGGGAAGTGTATGACATAACATGAAAGACCTTGTAAGGACATTTATAAGGGAAAGGTTTGGAGGAATGTCTTGCTGCTGTAGGAGGGCCTGTGAAGCATGCCGAGAACCGAAGGATGTAGTTAGTGATGACGCAGTCTGGACTTGAAAGGTGAGGCTTTAGAATAGCACTTAGTCTGGGGAAAGAGTACTTTCTCAGGGTTGATTTTTACTTGTTTTTTATAAGAGCACTTGTTAGGATGTGGATGAAGGGAAAATTTTGTTAAAACCTAGAAATGAATGCTTTTGTAATTTGTTTACATGCAATACTATATCAAAATGTTTTTGCTGATGTCATATTTTACATATCACTTAGACATTTTTACAAGAAGGAATGCCTACTTCTGCACGTTGTGATGATTTAGAAGCATTAAAAAAGAAGGGCTGCCAGCCAAGTGACATAGAAAACCCAAGAGGCTCCCAAACTATAAAGAAAAATAAAAACGTCACCAACCGCAACAGAGGAACGGCAGAGAAGCTCCAGCCAGAGGACATAACTCAGATCCAACCACAGCAGCTGCTCCTGAAGCTGCGATCAGGTACCTCCATCCCCCTTGGGTTTTCATAGTAACTTTATACAAGTCTTTCCTCCAGTCTTTGGAGGGCTCAGTTTTTGGAGGTTAGCTGGCTGGTACCCGAAGATATGGTGTAAGTTATATATATTAGCCGTGCTCTTCTCTCTCCATCCCACATCATCACCTCAACGCCTTTCTGCACTGGGGGAGCCTGGAAGAGGCTCTGTTGGCGGAACTCAGGAGCTCATGATGTCACTCCTTGTTTTTCTCAGTTCCATCCATTGCCTCTAGTTTCCTTTTTGTGCTTCTTCCCTTCATCCCTCCGCATTTCTCTTAAGAGACAGTTTTCCTCTCAAGTCACTGAAACCATTCATAGTCTACAACAGCACAGACTTTTCAGCTTAGCTCCGCCCCTCCAGCTGCCTGCCAGAAGGCCATGGAGATAAAACTAATGGTTTTTCATCCAAGCACTCTAATGTCTTTCACCCAGTTCTTCATCTTCTTCCATGTTTGTAAGTGATTTGTGTGCTGGAGACAGAACTTGGACCAGTGCTCCACCACTGAGCTGTCTCAGCTCTGTGCTGGTGAGGGTCATGTGACATCTGTACCCATGACCTTCCTCGTCTTCAGACCATTTTCATCTCCTGCTGCTGATCTCCCTGTAGTTTCTACCTGACCTCTTTACCCCATACCTCACTTTTATAATTCTAGAGTGAACTAGATTGCTACCCACCTTCTATTAGCAATGTCTTTTTACCCAGGAACAGTCCACTCCTGATTTTCTGTTGGACTCCAGAGTGTCTGCCCAAGTTTGTGGTGTTCTGTTCTCCTCATAAGTGTGTGTGTAATCAGCTTGTGATTACAGGAGCAGCTACTTGAAATAAGATTAAGCTGCTTGGCCTATAGGTTTAGAAGTTTCCTTCTGGGGGACTGGCCTGCTGCGCTGAGCGGTGAGGTGATAGATACGTCACCTGGGCATCTGGGAGGTGACGTTACAGCGAGGAGGTCATATCATATAGACTCCAGGGCACATCACTGTAGCCCAAACCTCCTGCTGGTCTCCACCTCCCAAAACTTTGAAGTGCCTCCTGATAGCACTGTGATAGCACTGATACACGGCAGATCCAAACTGTAGCAGAATTATTTGTCTCGTGGGTTACTCGTGGGGGGGGGGGCATTGCCTTTATCATTTTTGCCTCCCTGAGTCTTGGTGTTCTAAGTAGTTTTTTAAAATGAGATTAAGTGTGTGCCTATTGAGGCTCTAACAGACTTCTTGGTTTTGTGAAAATTGTACACTCAAGACTATGGCATTGAGTATATAAATTGAATTTGTTTTTTTATTCAATTATTTTTCTAATTTTAGTTTGATTACTGGCCAGCTAATTTCAATTTTGAATCTGTTTAATTAGGAGAACCACAGAAGTTTACATTAAAATTCAAAAGGGCTGAAGACTACCCCATTGACCTCTACTACCTTATGGATCTGTCCTACTCTATGAAAGACGATCTGGAGAATGTGAAGAGCCTCGGCACAGATCTGATGAATGAGATGAGGAGGATCACTTCTGACTTCCGCATTGGTAGGGATGTTTGGAGCATCATTTTCGTGCGTGCGTGCATATGTGCGTGTGCATGTGTGTGCACGCATGTGTGCATGTGTGTGTGCGCGAGCATGCGCATGTGCGTGCGCGTGTGGTCTTCTGCACACGTGCAGAGCAGGATGTTGAGTGTCTTTATCATTTTCTGTCTCAGTCCCATGAGACATGGTTTATCACTTAACCTAGGCTGATGGCCTGTGATCTTATCTCTTCCTGCAACAGTGCTGGGGTGCAGGTGTGTGTGACTGTACCTGACCTTTTACCTGGGTGCTAAGATCTGAACTAATCTTCATGCCTGTTTAGCAAGAGCTTTTGCCCACTGTGCAGTCTCTGCAGCCTCCATACTGGGCTTTAGAAGAAGCTGTTTAGAGTTGGTGACATGGCTCAGTGGGTAAAGGTCCCTGCCTCCAATCCTGATGATTGAATTCAGACACCAAAACAACCTCCTGCAAGTTGTCCTCCGACCTCCCAACATGCACTGTGGTTTTCGTGTGCGTGCCCTCCCTAAATAAGTAACATCAGTTGAAAAGTGTTGTGTGTTGGTCTCTGCCCGTTCACCTACCCGAGTGCATTCTTTTCTCCAGGCTTCGGCTCATTCGTGGAGAAAACTGTGATGCCGTACATTAGCACCACCCCAGCGAAGCTCAGGAACCCCTGCACGAGTGAACAAAACTGCACCAGCCCCTTTAGCTACAAAAATGTGCTCAGTCTTACTAACAGAGGAGAGGTTTTCAATGAACTTGTTGGTCAGCAGCGCATCTCTGGAAACTTGGACTCTCCAGAAGGTGGTTTTGATGCCATCATGCAGGTCGCAGTTTGTGGAGTAAGTGACTCCTGGCGGAGACTCTTAGCATTATCTGCCGTCACTTTATTTTACGTGGGGGAGTACTGATGTCAGTCTTCTAAGTTCCCATCTAGCCCTGCCGCTTTCTCCGCTGTCCCTCATCACTGCATCTCTGTTCGAACCAGCCAGGGAATTCACTCCTAAGGAACTGGAGCATAGACTCTAGGTGGTTGGGTTTTTGAGGAGGCTGAGGTGTCCTAACTCGGTGGCTCTGTACTGGAGATGTCACTGATGTTGTCTGGGGTGTCACTAGGAACCGTGCCTCCCACCATGTTCCTCAGCTCAGTCTAATAATAGAAGGAAAGAACTTTCAAGGGCCTGATCAAGCCACATGACAGCTTAGGTTGTAATGAAAGTATAAGCAGATGTCTGTGGTTTAACTGTAAGGTTTTCAGGGAGAGAAAGCCTAGTTCTGTTAAACTAGGGACCACTATCTACTTATGATTCATGAATATTCTTGATTGATTTTTTTTTTTCTTTTTTGAGACCTAGTCTTGCCATGTACCCCAGGCTACCTTTGACCTTGTAGAGATGCTTTTGTCTCTGTCACCTGAGTCCTAGGGTTACAGATGTTCTACCACTCCGACCATCAAGTTAATGAGAACTGAGGCTGAAAGCAGAAAGCATTGTTCTGTGGGGGTGTCCAGTGAGCAAAGCACTGTGTGGTGTGGAGGAAGGGCAGCGACTTGGTGCCATCGGGGAGGATAACAGTAGACAGCTCCCAGGACACATAACTGACCACTGCCTGTGGAGTGCTGTGATTTCCACTCTCCGAAAAGCCGTTTCCTGGTGTGCCCTGCTTCCGTCAGCAGTATGAAACTGATCATATACCTACTCCACTCCACCTCCCCGCTGTGGCTGTCCCTACATTTGTCATGCTTTAGGGACAAAGGAGCAGGTAACCCTCCTTTGAAAGATGATCAGAATCAAGAAACTTAATTTCATTCTGGCAGTGGTGGCACACGCCTTTAATCCCAGCACTCAGGAGGCAGAGGCAGGTGGATCTCTGTGACTTCGAGGCCAACCTGGTCTATAGACCAAGACAGTCATGGCTATACAGAGAAACCCTGTCTCAAATAAATAAATAAACAAACAAAAATAAGAAAGAAAAAAGAAACAATTTCTACCTTCAAAGAATTTATAAACATGTTGAGTCAGTTTAAATTTAGAAAAAATGTAGTTTTCCCATAGTAGAAGAGGATTTTCATGTTATTTAAATTTTTTTGTTGAGTAATCTAGTGAAATTACACAAGTGAACAATTTCATGAGCTAGAATGAAAGGATTTAAAGTGGGACAAGTCCATTGGCAGATTTTCCTAATAAGGAAGTAGCACAAGTCTATAATCTCAGCATTTGGGAATTAGGGGCTGGGGGATCAAAAGTTCAAGGCCATCCTCAGCTGTGTAGTAAGTTTGAGGATAGCATAGGTTGCAGGAGGAGAAGGCCAATAAAGGAAGTATACGGCATAGTAGACAGCAGGGATGCACAGTGGGGTGGGTGGGACTAGGACCGGGAAGTGTAGACGCTGCCCCCTGTGTGTTCATTAGTCCTCGGAACCCGCAGTATTGGCGGGCTCGTAAGATGTCGTGTGGATGTTGTGAAGTGCTAGAGGAGGGCCAGGGAGGCTGTCTGCACTCAGAGCAGCACTGGACAAGAAAGACAGTGATGCAGAATTAGGTGAAAAGTGCAGTTGCAGCTTGTGAGCCTGAAGGGTTTATGTTGAGTCACTATGAGCAGTGTCTACAGTTGACCTCTCTGTCTTCAAGTCTCTGATTGGCTGGAGGAACGTGACGCGACTGCTGGTGTTCTCTACGGATGCTGGCTTTCACTTTGCTGGAGATGGGAAACTGGGGGGCATTGTTTTACCCAACGATGGGCAGTGTCACCTGGAAAACAACGTCTACACAATGAGCCATTATTACGTAAGTACTTAAGCTGTCACCTGGTGCTGAGCACGTGGGACAGTGGGTTTGCAGCTTTCTTATTTTGGCAAGTGTGGGCCCCGTTGACCACCTGGATAGCTGCATTGCTGTTTGAGAAACTCTGGCATCGTGCTGTGCTGTGTGAGTGATGGGTGCTGAGACCCATCTGGCTCCTCATGCATGCAAATGGCACTTGCATGCATCATTTGGCAGCTTCCTGGTCATATTTCTAAATGCACAATTTAACTAGGCTTACCTCTCTGTCTTATGTATATCACTTAAAATTCTGCACTCTGGTCATCACTGAAAGTAAATATAGGCAGATCACTTACTGTCTAGGAGAAATTCAGTATTGGTAAATCTTGGCCTTAAGTGCTAGCTAACAGGAACCTTTAGTTTTGTTCCTTAATTTCACTGTCTTCACATTTAATGTACGTAGATTGTCTCACATCTAAAATACCTTAAAATGGGGTTGGAGGGATGGCTCAGCACTAGCTGCTCTTCCAGAGGACCCAGGTTCAATTCCCAGCACTTATGTGGCAGCTCACACTTGTCTATAACTCCAGGTTTAGGGCTCTGACGCCCTTGCACAGACATACATGCAGGCACAACACAGTGAGCATAAAATAAGAATAAATCATGAAGCTTCTTACAGTATGGAAGTCCTTGAACATATAAAAGAGAAACAAATACACGTGTGACCCACTCAGCGGTTCTTGGATATCTGAGGTTTTTTTTTTTTTTTTTTTTTTTTTTTTTTTTTTTT